AAACGTTTTATTAAATAGATATTAAGTATTTAATCTACAGTGTACGAAAGTTATCATTATCTTAACTTAGGAAAAAAAGGGGAAAAAAAAAACAGGGAAAAAAAAGGAACTATGATCAGAACTAAATTAGTTGAAGTCATATTTTTTTAATCCGTCACATTCAAGCAATTCAACTCCATGACTTTGCGAGGATTATCTTTAAATATATTATAAGAATGTATCACATTAAAGATATTTGTTTAAGTTTTCAAAATATATTTTTTAAAATTAATAAGACAAAATTAACCCATTTTTATTGAATATATGTCACTTCTAATAAATGTCTTACTATTTAAACCCCTGTCCTCATTTCTTTCAAGCCAGTGCTGATGTCGGTTTTGCCATCTGGAATAGATACGCCCAGAAAGATTCGGCCCCATCCATCGGTTACACTGCCCACCTGACAGGCGCACTGGCTGGACTGACCATAGGCCTGGCGGTATTAAAGAACTTTCATCAGAAACTCCACCAGCAGTACATGTGTTGGGTCGCCATGGCTGTGTATTTGGGTTGTGTCGGATTCGCCATTTTCTGGAATGTCTTCTACTACTGATGTGTCTGCCTGCACTTGAGACAGCTGGATCCACCCTTAAGCAAGTGACATGCTCACAAAAGTGTGACGTACATATGTTAGATGTACACAAGCTAGATGTGCAGTGATTTACACCAGAAGGTGCTAAAAATAGCTTTGAATTTTTACAAAAATGGGTTTCTGCTTTTTAGTCACTTATGAATTGAGCAAATGACTTGAATGCAGGACTCTTAAAATTTGGCTTGTTAAATATTCTACAACTGCAAGCTGAACACCTTTAGTAACTGAATGAACCACCTGTAACACTATCGAACTGCTACAAAAATGAAATATTGGATGAAAAATTCAGAGCTTTTGAAAAAGGACTTTTGTCTCCTACACTCGGGGTGGAAGGGAGAGGTGAGGTGTGGTAATACAGGTTTTTAAAACTTCAAAATATGGACTGAATTTCTTACTGGAGACCTTGTGAGATCCTCTGGTCTTTTCACTGGTCAATATTGAACAGCAAATATAATTTTCATGTGGAGAACAAGAAAATGTGCACAATGATATAAGTCTAATTTTACTTTGTGATCTTGTCAGCAGAATTTTTGTTGAAATGAGACTTTGCATCATTGTGTTTTGGAATATTGATATGCGTCAGTGTGTTGGGAAATGATATTCAACAGCTTATTTATTTATCATACCAGTTTAACACGGTTGTGGCCTAAATTTTATTTCAGGTCTCGCTAAATGCCAGTTGGTGTTCAAGACCTTACAGAAGTTGCAATTTACCACAGATGGTGCACGACCGGCTAAAATGAAGTAGCGATTGACATTATAAGTGTGACATCCAACAACAAGATGAATGCACCAATTGTTTTACAAGTGCCCTCACTTGTGCTTCTAAATGTTCCAGATTACAGCTGAGTTTTATCATTGGTTCAATGAAACAATACAGCAGTGCAAATGTTAAGGAGGTACACAAAATTAATTCTCCCCAAATACTCTGTATCCTTCAGTCTGCATAAAAAGCTGTTTCAGGTAAATAATGATTTATTTAAGTGAAATCTGCTGCCTTTCATTTATACGTATTTATTGACATTATGTCGATCTTTATATATAAACCTGCACTATTTTTAGCTCTAACCAATCAGTTCTTAAGCAGACTTAATTATTTCTAGTTTTGAAAATAATGGGGTAATAGATGAGTTTTTTTCTTCTGTGAAGTGGATGGGGAAAGATTATTTTTTTTTTTGGTTGTGGGGTGGAGAAGATTGCTGGCTTGTACTTTTCAAATTGAAATCTAAACAATATCCTTTACTTTATGAGGATATGCTATATTTGATATAACATCTTTTTTAAAGAAGATTTAAACCTACGTGCAGGAATTGTATAAATATTTTCATAATGCATCTAGAGTTTAATAACATGACATATTTTTTTTTTTAATGGCTGAATATCAAAACTTACTGTATTCACCAACAAAAAAACTTTAAATGACATTTTTTTTTTAATGGCTGAATATCAAAACTACTGTAGTCAACAACAAAAAACTTTAAATTTCAAAAAAAACGTTGCCATTTATTTAATCGTCCCATTAAATTTTGATAAACTTAAAAATGTCATGTTAAAAACTAAACAAAAGGAGGATGCTTTATCATGTTAAATTTTCAAACACTTTTCCTTTGAAGAAATTCTTGTTTGGAGAAGAAAAAAAATGCAAAAAAAATTAATTAAATGTTTTAGATTTCAAAAGACGTTTTCTTTCTTTTACAAACCTTTACAGGTTGTAATAGAAAAAAACATTTGTATCTGACCTGGAGATGGATGATCTATGAATTGTTGATCTTTAATTGACCTTTTTCCGATTTATGAAGTGTTGTTGATTATATTGAAACAAACAATTTAGAAATGTCTTTTCTAAAGATGGTTTATGTTTCATTGGCAGAGTAGAGGAAATTGTTGATCTTTAAATGAGATGTTGGAACATAAGCTCCGTCTGCTGTTAATTAAAGAGATTAAACAATTTCAACCCACGAATCCCTGATCTGAATGCTGGGATGTTAATGAAAGAGCTTAATTGATATTAACCCATGAAGCTCTGATCTGAACGCTGTACTGTTGCTGGTCAGATCATGTTATATTACACATAAAATGTCACTTACATTGTCATCAGTGCTAAGGTTTTCTTACTTAATCTTGTTTACAGACCAGCACATGAATCTCAGGCGCATTTTCAGAACAAATTTTTTTTTTACAAGTGTCATGAGGCGTGAAAATGAAAATATCATTTGCATTTTACAAAAATGACAACAATGTTTTAAAAAAAACTAATAATTTTTATTATAGTTTTTAAACACTGTTATTTTTGTAAAAAAAAATATTTAAAAAAAAATTAATTTAAAAAAAATAAAAGTTGCATTTACAAAATAACAACAATGTTGTAAGAAATACAACAAACCAAATTATTTCTGTTTTGTGCATTTCATTCTCAATTTATAAATTTATCACATGAAATTTTTAATTTATTATTAAGGTTGTATCAAGTGTATACTTTTTTTTTTTTTTTTTTTTTTTTTTTTTTTTTTTTTTTTTTTTTTTTTTTTTTTTTTTTTTTTTTGTTTTTTTTTTTTTTTTTTTTTTTTTTTTTTTTTTTTTTTATTTGTTTGTTTGTTTGTTTTTGTTTGTTCTTGAAATGAAAATGACTTGAGCACTTATAAGTTATTGCTGATTGGTTACTAGAACTGGGTTCATGCTTTTATAAACTATTTTGTTTTTATGCGATTATTTTATGGAAATGCTTCTTTTTAAGGGCATATTTTAGTCTCTTTTTAAAAGTAAATTGACAAACATTTCTGAGCTGTTGTGGGAAATGATTGTGTGTATAATTAATAAAATGAAAGAATTTGCTATGGTGAAAGAAAGATGCTCTGGTAAAAAATTGAATATTGTTAAATTTTAAATTTCTTAAATGAAAATAAATTTTAAAAATTGTTATTAATGTTGCTGAAATGCTTTCTGTTGCGCGTTTTGTTGCAAATGTGTATTACCCTGTCAACATTAATTTAAATATTCTCACATGTAACACTCAATAAATATTTTAAAGGAGCCATTTAAACAACAATCTGCATTTAATCTGATTTTTATTTTATTTCACTATTTGAAAAGTTTCATTTTAGTCAAATAATATTAACAAGTATCATCAGGCAAGTGTCTGATTTCATCAAAACCAAAAATTGACAATTATTTTTAAACCGACTGACTCTATTCAAATAATATTTTATAATCTATTATCTTTTTACACATTTCAACCACCAAAAAGGGATAGCAGGGATTATAATTATGTCCTTGGTGAAGAAAAAGTGTGTGTGTGGGGGGGGGGGGTGTAGTATGCACCTCAGTTACTTCTTTTGTCAACTTTTATCAGTCACTATAATTAACTATTGATTATTAATAGAAGCACAATAAAAACTTTATAATCAGATTAAAGATTAAATGTATATATCTATAAATCTCACATGACCACCTGACTCCAGGGCATTTGTTTTACTCTCGGTTCAACAGAAGTGGCCCCCCTTCTGATGAGCTTATAAGAAGCCTTGCACTAATTGACTTATGACAACCCTATTTGTTACTCTGGGTTCAACACAAGTGGCCCCCCCACCCCCTTTTCTGATGAGCTTAAAAGAAGCCTTGCACTAATTGACTTATGACAACCCTATTTCTAAAACAAAGTATTTGGCGCTTCTTTCTTTCGTCTCTGTCAAGTGGTTTGATGTGAAGTTAAATCAATCACCGTTGTCACCAGCTTCCGCTGTTATGACCTTGCATGCCGATATTTCTTCCCATCTTAGACCATTCTACATGAGATCTTCACTCCCATCTTAGACCATACTACATATCTTTACTCCCGCCTTAGACCATATTGCATGATATCTTTACTCCCGTCTTAGACCATATGACATGATATCTTTACTCCCACATTAGACCATACTACATATCTTTACTCTCATTCTAGACCATACTACATAATATCTTTACTATCATCTTTGTCCATACTGCATGATATCTTTACTCCCGTCTTAGACCATAAAACATGATATCTTAACTACCGTCTTAGACCATAAAACATATCTTTACTCCCATCTTAGACCATAAAACATGAAATCTTTACTCCCGTCTTAGACCATATTACACGAAATCTTTACTCATGTCTTAGACCATAACACATGATATTTAAACCCATCTTAGACCATACTACCTGATATCTTCGCACCCTGCTTAGACACCCGAAAATTCCAAAATTGGCGTCTATTTAAATATTCATTCTTTTCTTAGACCAACAACATGACAGAACCGTTTCCCGGAAGCGACTGTTGAAGCACAAGTAGACAAACATGTTGAGAGAGGCGCTGATGTACTCCACCGTGTTTCTCGCGATGTTCAGAACGAAGTAAATATTTTCATAACGATGGTACAAACTGAGCTCGGGCTCGATGAGACAAGCGTAAGCCAAGACAACTTTCGGCGTGTTGCACACCACGAAAATCGTGGACACCACTGCCGCTGCCTTAACGGCTTGAATTTCACGTCTGCTGCCAGAGCGACCTTGACCTTCAATTTTGGTTTTCAGTTTGGGCCCCCGTTGTTCTCGCTTATCCGCTCGTGGTGATGGGTAATAAGAAGTACCTTTGGGGTGGTTGAGAGCCCTTCTGAAAGACGAGGCTTGTTTCAGGTTGTACGCCAGGACACAGAGAGCGAACACGATGGCGACCTGGCAGGATGTGGTCAGGAAGACTCCGCTGAGGTAGTCCTGCAGAAAGATGAAGTCCTGCCGTCTGCTGGACACCCACATGGTCCACACGGTCCTGTTTCTGGGCACGTCGAATTTCGGGGCCAGACCCTGGGAGACGTTGATCGGGAGGTAGGACGCAACGCAGTACGCGTTTAAGACAATCACCACAGCGAAGGCGCGAGGTCGCGTGAACGTGTTCTTGAATGTGAACGGCAGCGCCACGCAGCAACATCGCTGGACCGCGATGAACGTCGTGATCAGCTGGGACGTGTCGAAGAAGATCAGGTAGTAGACAATGATCAGGTACGTCAGTGAAACGCTGTCCAGACCCCATTGCCGGATCGGTGTGTCCAGCGGGATGTTGGCCAAGATGTTGACCGGGACCACGCAGGCCAAGCCGGCAAGGTCGGAGCAGGACAAGAGGAAGAAGCAGACGCTGATGCTGTCTCTGAGACCGAGCCGGATGTACGTGATGATGCTGATGACGTTAGTCGCCAGGCCGAGCACGAGAAAGGGCGGCTGTATGAAAGTGACCAGCACGACAATGATGTGGAGCCTAGCTTCATAGGTAATCACGTCGTCCAGGCCCGCCGTGAGCTCCATAGTAGATGTGTTCTGTTTAGTCATTTTGTCCTAAATTTTGTAGAGCGTTTTGTTTCCAAATTTGGTGTTCAGCTATGTTGCTTTCCGCTCAGTCTAAAGTAGAATTTATGAAAGTAAAAAAAAGCAACTTCATGGCTCATCTGTCCGAAATTAGAACACATCGTCAAGTTTTGGAACTAGTGAGAACACATATATCAAGTGGACACTCTGCTGAGTGTTATGTTTATCTTATTTGTTGGAGCTAGTGAGGACACATCCATCAATTGGATACTCTCTGCTGAGTGTTATGTTTATCTTATTTGTTGGAAGTAGTGAGGAGACATCCATCAAGTGGACACTCTCTGGTGAGTGTTATGTTTATCTTATTTGTTGGAACTAGTGAGGACACATCCATCCAGTGGACACTCTCTGGTGAGTGTTATGTTTATCTTATTTGTTGGAGTAGTGAGGACACATCCATCCAGTGGACACTCTCTGCTGAGTGTTATGTTTATCTTATTTGTTGGAAGTAGTGAGGACACATCCATCCAGTGGACACTCTCTGCTGAGTGTTAGGTTTATCTTATTTGTTGGAAGTCTTTCAATGTCAGGCCAACATTACGACAACAAAGTATGCTCAGACATGTTCAGACATATAAGTAGGAGACATTTGATGAAATTAATGTTTATTTTTATAACTTGATTTTTCTGGACAATTATTTATGAACGTAATTATAAACTAACCGGTGGGACATATTCAAGAGAAGGAAACCATTAAGGCACAAGATTGCATTTTTAGGATTAACGCATTGTTAAACATTGAAGTGTCATAATGACATTAAATTGGTTGGGCCGCGGGTGGGGTGGGGTATTTGATAATATGTGTACTTGAATGAGTTGAATGGAGTACACGCCTGGTTCATGGTGAACTAGTTATCTAAATACTATTGACCTCATTAGTGGTACATTTAACTAGGGAATGTTGTTCCAGCAATTAAATATATTTTAGTGTTCTGTGTCACAACGAGATGCAAAACTATGGTCGATACTTTGCTGCTCCTCTCTGTCTCATTATAATGTGTTACTTAAGGTCGAAAATTGTTACTACAGTTAAATTAAAGTTTAAAATCATTTGTTACCAGTGAATAGATATCTGATGTTTTTTTGTTTTTTTTTACCTCTTCAAAGCAAGTTTATAACCTAATTAAACTCACTTACCCACAAAGATCAATTTCACCGTGAGGGCATGAATGCCATTATGTTCACTTTTAAAAATATCAACAGGATAGTTCTATGATCAATAATTCAACCATTAAAACTAGATTTGAAGAAAGACAATTAAAACTAGAAGCTAATAAGTGCAATAAATATTCAATAAATTAGGATTTTGGAAACTCAAAAAGTAGGGAAAGTGTGTGTGTGTGGGGGGGGGGGGTTAAGAGGTAGGGGTTAGGGGTATGATCCCGGCGATATTAACTCCTGTGTTTTGGATAGAGGGTTCGCTGCGAATAAAAAAAATATTTTTTTTTCGTGAAAAGACGCAAAAGGCAAGAAACATTTTTTTTTTTC